CAAATGAAATTAATGGGTAGCAGGTTTAAAACTAATAAAAGAAAGTTCTTCTTCACACAGCGTGTAGTCAACCTGTGGAACTCCTTGGCAGAGGAGGCTGTGAAGGCTAGGACTATAATAGAGTTTAAAGAGAAGCTAGATAATTTCATGGAGGTTAGGTCCATAAAAGGCTATTAGCCAGGGGATAAAATGGTGTCCTTGGCCTCTGTTTTTCAGAGGCTGGAGAGAGATGGCAGGAGACAAATCGCTCAATCATTGTCTTCAGTCCACCCTCTCTGGGGCACCTGGTGCTGGCCACTGTTGGCAGACAGGATACTGGGCTAGAAGGACCTTTGGTCTGACCCAGTACGGCCGTTCTTATGTTCTTAGTGCTGAGTGCCCATTGTCTTCCCGGGGAGTTGAGGGCACTTGGCAGTCCTGTGCAGAAAGACTCCTCGCTCTGTACCGCTTGCTTCCCTCCCTCTGTGGGGAACGAAAGCTAATCCACCTCCTGTCCCTGCACAAATAACACCAATTGACACAAATAACACAGAGGAGCAAAGGCCCCGCAGTCCATCTGAAGAGAATTGTATAATTGGTGTGGGGGAGGTGTCTGAGGAGAGCCGAGCGTGCGTCCCTCCCTGGGCGCTTTGTGCTTGCTGTGTGGTCTCTGCGCACGGTGACAACTCTAGCACTAATAGCCTAATCAGTTAACATCGGTTGACACCGTAGCCTGCTTGAAGAAAAACGCTTCAAGAAGCCCCTGGGTCAAGCCCATCAGGGACTTTCCACGGCGGGAAAGGAGCCACTAATGAGGCAAGAAAGAGCTGTCCTGCATCTCCCCTCTTTGGGGATTACCTCCCGGATTGATTTCTGCCAGGCATTGTCACTGCATGCCTCCTTCCAGCCTCCTGGCCCCCACCATGCCACCCCTAAGACGGGGCTAAGTGCAGGAGAGCAAGCTAGAGCTCTCCTCGTGCCTCTGGGTGCAGTTGTCTCCCTGTGTCAGCCCAGATGCAGTGCGGTTCAGTGTAAACTCCCCCACGCTGGATTATTACTGACCTAGAATCCCCATCTGGGATCAGGGCCCCATTGTGTTGGGTGCTGTATATATGTAATGCCGGCAGACCCTGGCCCTCTGTGGGCAGAATCTAACCTCTTAGTGCATGAGCGAAAAGACACATTTTTCTCTCTCTAAGTGGTCTCAGTGCCACTAGGTGGGACAGAGGACCAGCCCAGACTGCGTGTGGGTTACATATACACCTAGGACAAAGTCAGTCAGTGTCTGAAGCACTTGCAGTGGAAACAGATAAGGGAAACTGAGGCACAAAGATAATGACCTGCCCAAAGCCACCCAGCAGCTCAGTGGCAGAGCCAGGGTTAGAACCAGTTCTCCAGATTCCCAGCCCTGTGCGCCACCCCTTGGACCATGCTGTCTCCGTGATTAGTGCCTGCATTGTGCCCTCTTGGCAGAGTCGTCGCCGTGCGGCATTACACAGTGGGGACTTTCTATCAGCTTCCCTCAGCTCTTCCAGTGGCCTCCCCGGAGAGGCCGACAGGATGGGTGACAAGAGGCTGGGTGTGTCCGCGCGACGCACCTCGTCTCAGGATCTGTCTGGGAGTTCTCTGCAGGGCTTCAGAGCAGGTTGTGGATGGCTGGGCGCTAGCTGCTCGTGCGTTGGCGTGAGCGGCACAGTCTCGCCCCAGCCCATGCCAGACTAGCCAACGCCCCTGGCTGTCTGTGCCTCTCATGGTGAGAACTGCGGGCCTGGGCACCGCGTCCTTCACTGGCTGCCAGGAATGCAGCCGGGCTGCACGGGAAAGTCCCCAGGCCCATCTGCGAGCTCTGCACGTGTGTGGGGACTGCAGCTGTCCCACGCTAGCCAATACATGGGTGGAGCCAGTCCTGGAAAAGATAGTGAAACTGGATGGGATGCTTGTCTCAGGATCTCTCTGGTGGAAGCTGGACCGATGTGACCCGCTGGAGTTTAAAGCCGCCTCCTCTGCACAGACCCTCCGGCACAGCTGCCTCCAGGCATGCATGGGGTTTGGTTTGCTGAGTGGCAGTGAATCGCCTCATGTGTGTACTGGCTGGTGGGGGGAACCCTGGAGAAACCACCATTGGATCCCACAGCCTACATAAAAAGGGAGAGGGAAAATCCACCAGCCCAGAGCATTATGGGGGAGGCGGGGTTTCCAATACTCATTTGCAACATCTATTAATCAGGACGCTGGGTCCGGAGAGTTTCAAACATCCCTCACTGGGGATGAAATTCACAGGGTCCGTTCTCGTCAGGGTCAGCTCAATGGCCACTGTCTATCAAAGGCACCCCGTGCCGTTCACTTTGTGGGGGAAACCTTTTCACGAGGCCTGCTCTCCATGGATTTTTCACAAGAGCTGGGCTTGGTACGGGCACCCTTGATCAAAATTTCCCATCCCTGGAGTTGTGCAGCATGATAGGCGCAAGTTGATCATGCCCAGCGGTGGCTTCAGAGTAGTGGCGCTCTTTGGAAACATCTGTGAGATCCTTTGAGTGGAAAGAGATGACAGAAATCTTGCTATTTTATCGTTTACCTATTTATTAGCTGAATGTATACAGTTCCTACGCTCTAGGAATGACACACATAAATAACAGAATTATGATCTCATTGATATTGTACATTTATATTGCACCTTTCAGTCAGGGTGTGTCTAGACTACAGGGTTTTTTTTGAAAAAAGGGGCCTTTTTTCGAAAAAACTTCTCCTGCGTCTAGACGCTGCTACGTTCTTTCAAAATTAACTTGAAAGAACGTGGCTTTTTTTTGACCACGGTAAACCTCATTTTATGAGGAAGAATGCCTTTTTTCGTAAGTGCGCTTTCGAAAAAAGGCGTTCTTGAATGTAAACAGGGCTTTTTCGAAAGAGAGCATCCAGACTGCCTGAGTGCTCTCTTTCGAAAAAGCGGCTCGCTTTTTTGAAAAAAGTGGTTGCAGCCTAGATGATCTCTTTTGAAAGAGCCTTTTTCGAAAGAGTCAATCGAAAAAAGCCTCTTTCAAAAGTGGCTTGTAGTCTAGAGGTAGCCTCAGACAGATCTCAAAGTCCATTGCAAACAGTGCACAGCGATCGTGTCACCCAGCAGGGAAAAGCAGCTGCCTCTGGGGTGGAACGTGACATTCTTTTAACAGCACACTGCAGCATGGCTCAGTATATTAGGACAGGAAGTAGGGAAGAATCTCGGAGCAGGTGAATCCTGTGGCTATAGAGCACAACAGGGGCATTTAGAGTCAGAATGTAATTTGGCCAAAATTAACACCCCTGCTCTTGCAAAAGGGCCATGCGAACGTTAACAGCCACATGGAACCCGTAGCTCAATTTAACTACCCTCCAAAAAATAAAGGTGCCCTAAGTTTATAAAAATTTACACACTTCACCCTCCATCCCCGAGGAAAAGCAGAACGCCGAACTTGTAAATGCCTGTGAGTTAGTGGCCAAATTTCCATTCTGTTCTATGTGTGATTTTAAGGCTTCCCCTCCCTCTTCAGGCCCCCATGTGCTTAGCATTTTGCTGTTGCCCCGAGGCTGGGGAGCAGATGCTAGTGTCCTCCCAAGGAATCAGCGGCCTCTTTAGCCGACTAATGGTTCTTGTGCCCTGCGCCAAAGCAAAAGGCAATTACTCAAGAATCTTTGTGTTTCCACATAATGAAGTTCACCTGGTACAGCGGCTGCCTAGCAGGGCCCTAATTTTGCAGCAGCGTTTGGACAGAAAACAAGCTGGGAGTTCAGGAATTCAAGCCCATGCTACCTGAAGAGTCAAACCCGGGTTTCCAAGGCAACCCAAGGCAAAGTTCTCTCAGGGGGCTGTAGCAGACTAAGAGGGTTATTAAAGGTGCACGGGGCCTTTCATCTTTGAGGCCCTCAGTTCAGAGCCAGCCCAGGGTCAGCACGGATTGAAAGCTGTTAGCATTTGCTCGGTGGCTTGTCTGAACCGGGCGGGTGGTTGGTCACAGTCCCGTTCCTCGTGGGACTAGGATTCTGTCTGCAAAGGCAGAGCTGGCAGCAAAGGGATGGCCATCGCAGAAGAGAAGCCAAGGCGCTGCTCGAAGAAATTGGGTATAAAGGCTTCCCCTGGGATGAAATAGCTGGGTGCTGTGACACCACCCTATTGGGTCCCCATGTAGCGGAAAAGGGGTTGAAGACAGACAGCTGGGACTCCAAGGCCAAACGCTGCTCCCATTATAGACAGTGAGAGATTGGCCATTAGCATCAGTGGGAACAGGATAATATAAAATACCCGCCTGTGTGCTAGGAAGTAACCATGGCTATGGGTTGCTTGGCCCCTATAGACACGTTTGGAACCAGGTCCCTGAATCTCCTCTCAGGCACATGAATGATGAGGTGCTGGTTAATGTGCCATGCAGCCGCTAGGCGTGAGTCTTGTGCCCTTCCTGGCTAGCATCCCCCGCAGGCCTGCCCATACTATAGGCCCTAGTGCCTAAGTCTGAGCAGTCTGGGCAGGGAGGGGTCCCATGTCTTCCCCAAGGGCGTGGCTCTGCTCATTGCTCCCCTCCCCCCGCCAGGTCCTGAGCTGTGTGAACCCCGACAACGTGAACAGCCCCGAAATCCCCGTGAAGATCCTGAACTGTGACACCATCACGCAGGTCAAGGAGAAGATTCTCGACGCCATCTTCAAGAACGTGCCGTGCTCCCACCGGCCCAAAGCGGCCGACATGGACCTGGGTATGTGAGCGCGCGGCCCATCGTGGGGCGGGGGTGGGGGCGTAATTCACACCCAGCTGGGACTTTGCGTTCCGTCCCGCGCACCAGAGGGACGGGGACTTACTGGGGCCTGAGCAGAGCAGAGCCGGTGAAATAAGAGGAAGGCCGGGAGGGGTGGATAACTAGAGATGCTAGACTCTGCCTGGCCTGCAGACCTTGTGGCTCTGCCTCCTGCCTCAAGGAGAGCCCCAAAAGGAGCAGCCTGTGCTCCTGTTCTTGCACAGAGGGTCCAAGGGAGTGTCCAGCTGGCACAGGACTGTCTGGGGTCAGCTACGCCTTGGGCTCAGCTGCCACAACTTGCTGGAAACCTCTCAGGAGTGAGGAAGTTCTCAGTGAGAGGCCTCATGCTGAAATTTCTTCCTAGTCATTCTCTGAGGGTGGGGGATTCACTCGAGGGTCGCACCCTCCCTGAAACTGACTCTTGGCCCAGGCTGTGTTGCTCTCCAGCTCCATGGGCCACAGGGATGGGTAATGTGACTCCCCGTGGTCCCCAACCCACCCCCTACTGGCTTCCACCTTGCCAAGATCCCACACCCAGTGAAGACATCAGGTAAGCAGCTGTCTCTTCCCTACATAGGAGCAGGAGATCCACACCCTGGTCTCCAGCGCCCGCTTAGGTTCCTCTGTACATTACATAACTGCTGCTGGGCACTGTAAGCTAAAGGACTTCACAGATCCCATGGGTTTTTCACCATGACTCTTCATTCTTCAGCCAGCTTGGACAGCAGGGCGAGACATTTTCAGTTGCATGTCCAGGCCGGTTCGTAGCGCGGTTCTCATGTACAGGCTGCAAAGTTTGTGGTTATGTAACCACCACAAGACAATTTTGAACCCGGGACCTCTGGAGCTTCTGCCCTCTGAGCTAGAAGCCAGTTGCCTCTCAGCCCATGCTGTAGCAGTCTCTTGGGCTTATCTGTTGCTGTGGTCTCAGTGCCACTACATGGGACATTGAACCACACTGGTGTGTGGGTTACAGCTGCACAAACGCAGCCTGGGTCCAGAAGCATCCCTTCCCTTCAATCTGAAGAGACAGCACCAGGACAAGGGAGAGTTCTGCCGTCAGGTATCACAGCAGATCTGATACAGCTCCTCTTTGCTGGAAGTTCTGGCAGGAGCCTAGACTGATAGGACCCAGCACTCTACCAAGTCCTGTTCAGGTCCACTGTGATGGTCCCTGGGACGAGAAATGGGATTGCATCATGGGAGCAGACTAGCCAGGATTTTCCCCCTGGGACCTTAAATGAAAGAGACTCGAGTGGAAAAATGACGGAGTCTATAAAATCCTGCAAAAGCAGATGAGAAGCCAAGAGGAAAGGGACTGGATTGAGGCCAAGAAACCATTCAGGACGATAATGAAGGCAGAAATGAGAGGTGGGGGGTTGAAGTTAAGCGGGGTGGAGGTGGAGGAGAGGGGTGCCTGTCAGCAGGATTCTTGCTCACAAAGGCTGGTTAAAATAATGGAACAGGCTGCCAAAAGCAGCAGCAATAAAAACCCAATCATATAAATTAGCAAGAATGAACCTGAACATTATTTTTTTTTTTGGAGCTGACGAATGTCAGCGAGGGACTGGGTGAGGGTGAGAGGGAGGCCAGCCAGCAGCTGGAAATGAGGGGCATGATGGATTGAGGCTGGACAGATTGACCCAGGCTGTGCGCTGGGCTGGGACCAGGGGACACATGAAGTTTGGTTCCAAGGGTCAGCAGTGCAGCAGGTGCTGGGGTTTGGTAGGGGGACTGTGGCAGTGTTTGTAGGAGAATGAGGCAGGAGAGCCTGGAGCACTAAGTGAGGCTGTGGCTGGATTGGAAACACCTCTGACAACCGTGACCTAGGGGACAAACGGGCTGTGTTCTGAAGTTAATGTGCTTTGGCCTTTATCAGCTAGGCCCGAACCAGCCCCCCACTTCTCACTCCCTCTCCAAACTGGGCAGGGTTAGCTCCCACTCTGAGGCAGATGGAAGAGACCAGCAAGGGCAGCCTTGTTTCCGGCCACGAGTAAAGCAACGGGCTCTCTCAGCTCACCCGCTGATGAGCATGGAGAAGTATCTCCTGGGGGGAGTTTGGTGGGAGAGAGGGAGTCACGCCCGTTCCTCCTTGGCACGTGGGGCCCTGCAGTGACAGTGAAAGGAACACACGGGGGAGCCGCCCTTCCCATGTTTCTAGTCGGAGCGAGCACAAAACTCCGAGGAGCACCACTCTCTGGGGCAGTGTCTGGCTGGTGCTTGTAGGAAGCCTAGATGCTCTTAGCGGTCCTTTCTTGGCCTTCATCTTCATGGGTCTTGGAAGAGAAAACTATTTTGCATAGCCAGGGCTGTTGGGCGGGGCTCTCTGTCCACAGCCGGGACCCATTGCTCAGAGGGAAGGAAGCAGCAAGCTAGCTAATGAGTTCTTTTGTGTGGTAAATGCAGGGTAGCTGTGGGAGCAGAGGGGGGGGGGTCCTACCATTGTTTAAAAACAATGAGCACTCCTGTGGCATCTTACAGACTAACACATATATATTAGATCACGAGCTTTCGTGGGTAAAATCACTTCAGATGAGTTGGAGTGAAAAACACAGAATCCAAGGAGTGTATAACAGCTAAATCAGTTACCTGTCAATTGTAGGACCCATGTTAATGCTTGAGTAAACTGGTTAACGCACTACAAAGCCAATTTCCCCAACCTTTGATATTCACATTTTCACATCAGTAGCTATGAATGGGACACTTCCAGCCTGCTTATTTGCTTCATTAACATAGGTCCTACAATTGACAGCTAACTGTTTTTGCTGTAATATATACCTTGGATATATATGAGTAGGGGTGTTAATGGTCACCAGGCTCAGAGTGAAAGGGGCCTTGGGCAGGATTAACACCTTCCACTCCAGGCACCCCGGAGAACCTCCAGGGAAGGAGAAGGGAATGATGGGGTGAAATGGTAGGGCTCCGAGAATCTGGGCCTCTTCTCCCTAGGAGTCCACCAGCCCCACCCAGGTATCGGATGCAGCTCAAATAAACCCCTCTAATCAAAGGTCTGTGGAATTTCCCTTTTTCCTGGAACTGAAAGTTTTTTTTTTAATAAATAATTCCCGCCTGCAATAAAAGGATACACTTTCTGCTGAATGAAATATAAAGAGTTCACAGCAGCTGTCTCTTAAGTTTGCATTTAGCGCCATTCCCGGTTGGAAGGCAAGATAAAGATAATGGGATTTTTACCTCCCTCTCGCTCGCTCGCTGGGAAGTGGAAGTGTGACAAATTGGATTGGAGTGTGTCTCTCCTCTGTGCCGGTGCCAGGAGGAGAGGGCTGATCGGAGGAAAGAGGTGGTGGAGGAACAGCCCTACAGGAGAAAAGCAGCACTCTTCACTGTGAATGTAAATGCAGGGGGCCCCTTTCTCTCCTTCCTGTCCTTCTCCCTCCCATCTACCACTTCCCTTTCCTTGTGGGGAGTGGCCAAGCCAGTTAGTGCTTACGGAGAGGAAAAAGGTATTTAAAGAGCATTGTTTGGTAAACTGTGAGGTGTTCATTAGTAAAGGGCATCGTTCCTCAGACTAAACTCCATCGGCTGAATTCTGGCATCTCTTCCTCAGCCCCGACACAAGTTCTGGGGTCCCTTCTTCAGTCCTGGCACAGATGCCTACTGACGTCCATGGCACGTGGCTAGAGAAAAAAAAAATCCAGGAAATCCTGCCTAAGGGGATTCATGATTCACATCTTCAGTGGAATGGGCAACCTGGCATGGACCCGGTTTGAAACATCCCCCGGTGGAGTCCCGAGCCCAAACACAGCCCCATTGGGCTAGCCGGGGAGAAAACTGCCGAGAGACAGATGTAAAATCAATGGGCCTGGTTAAAAGATCCTTCAAACGGGTGGAAATGGTGCTTTAAAAGGCAGCCCCCGCCTTCCCCGCCTCCCCCGCCCAGGTGTCATGGCTCTATACCAGCACTACT